GATTTAATGTAATCCCAGTCAAAATACCATTACCATACCTCACAGAACTAGAGAAAACATTCTTAAAAAATTTATTCTTAAAAAATTCCTTAAAAAACCAAGATTAGATCCACTGCCTGCCACACAAGCGTGAGTTTCTGAGTACTCCCCCCCAAAAAAAACCAACTAAGAGGTCCCATTTAACTCTGCTATTCCCCTTTCTGAGTGTCTTCCCCAAAACTTTAAAAACGTCATAACACAGCACTACAACCACACCCATGTTTATAGTGACGCAGTTTGTAATAGCTAAATCTTACAAACAACCCAAATGTTCATTAACTGATGAATGGATTGAAAAAATTTTTATATACAATGGAGTAACATTCATCTATAAAGAAAGATAAACTTGAAACGTATATAGGTAAATGGATGCACCTTGAAACCACACACTCAAGTGAAATAAATCAGACACACGTGTAACTATCACATTGTCTCTACTGTGAGAAATTGAAAATGTAAATAAAGACCAAAATGTATAACAGATTTTATGAAATATGAAAGGAAAGGGGGAACTAGGGAGGAATGAGGTGGAAAGGAAGGGAAAATGAAAAGAAAAAAAATTAGTAAAAAAGGATATAATGGAAACAAAGCTTTTGTAAATAAGCTGGAGAAGAGGAGTGATTGGGTGGAGAGGGAAAGGGGAAAAAAGAGAAATGACTCTATGCCACATCCAGGTGCAGACTCTCTACGATGAATGTGATTACTATGTACATCTAACTTATACCAAAACAATCAATAAAAAGAAATAACAGGAAATACTCTTGCTTTGCTTAGAGATTTGGTATCACATAGAGTCGATAAAAATGAGGAAACAAGCAAAACTTTGCCAAACAGAAAAATGAGATTAATCTCAGGAAACCAACTTTTTTTTCAGCTTTAATTGAGTTTATTGGTACATTATAGGGATACAGTGCAGTTACATTCATTGTTGGGATCTTGTAGCTCTACATGACGTCTTGATTCTCATTTTTTTCCCCTTACCCCTGCCCGCCCTTCACCCCTCCTCCCCTGGCCATCTACAAACACTTTATTTCCATCTTTTCATTATCTCACATTTTTTTCTTTTCCCTTATTACCCTTCCCCTACCCATCCCACCTTCCCTACACCTTTAGCTCTTTCTTCCCATTTCTAGATGTCAGTAATCTTATTAGGATCTTATGTATTATTGCAGATTATTCACACCAGAGAAACTATTCAGTATTTACACATGTGTGCCTTATTTATTTCACTTAGGAGTATATCTTCAATATGTATTCAGGAAACCAACTTTAATGATATGGAGTTGTACAATTTATCTTACAGAAAATTCAAAACATCTGGCAGCTAGGTGCTTACAACAATTCCTGAACAATATGAGAGCTACAACAAAGGCATAGGAAATATTCTTAAAGTGTCATTCATAAATGGTGAAGCTGCAAAATACAGTAACTAAGCTGTGAGGAGTTCAACACATACTACATCAAAAAGAAAGAGTGTACTTGAAGATAGGTAATTGCAAATAATTCAACCATAGCAGCAAAAAAAAAGAAAAAAAAGTATGAAAAAGTGCAGAAAGCTTAAACGTCTTGTAGGACACCAGCAATATATATATTAGCCCATTTAATTTATTTATAATATTTTAATCCATTTAATAATATGAATATTATAAATATTATATATACATTATATATTATATATACACATATGTATGTATATATATGTGTGCATACACACACACACACACACACACACACACATGTGGGGTGGGGGGGTGTACCAGGGGAGTTTCAGGGAAAGAGAGAGTCAAAGAACTAGAAATTTTATTTTTTCAAAGATAAATAAAGGCTGATTTTTCAAAAACTAGGAAAGTAAATGGACATCTAGGTTGAAGGAATTCAAAGGACATTAAGTAAGATGAATGCCCAAAATAACATAAATCTTCAAAAGTAGCCCAACACAGTGACACACACCTGTAATCCCAGGTACTTATTGGAGGAGCCAGGAGGCTTGCAAGTTGAAAGCCAGTGTAGGCAAATTGGTTATATACTGTCTTCAAAATTAAAAAGAGATAGGATGTAGGTCAGTATGAAAGTGACCCAGGTTTTGATCCACAGTACAGCAAAAATAAAATAAAATACTTGTCAAAAGTCAAAGAGAACTTTCAAAACAAGAGGAAAACAATTTTTCACATGCAAACAAGCTGCCTTAAAGTAACAAACCCTAGTTTTCTCAGGAGAGAGATTGCTGGGCAGTAGAAACTGAGAAAATATACTTAAAAGTGCTACAGAAAAAATATCTGCAAATATGAACAAAATCATGTTCCCAGGGAAGAAGGAATGGTTCTCTCTGATCACACTACTCCTCGCCCAAGACAGCAGAGCACCACAGACAGAGTATTCACCCATGGTTTCTGCAGTGGGAAAATTGAGTTGGAAAAACACATTCAAATTCCCTGCTATTCTAAGACTCTTCACAAAATAGTTATGCCTGTCTCATTTTAAGTATGAGTGATATCAACGCAATGAAAATGCAACATCAAACATAAGAGAAATACCTGTAAAATATGTATCTTTCAAAGGATTGATTTCCAAAATATATGAGGAATTCAAACTATTCAATGGCAAAAAGTCAAATACTGTAATCCAATTTAAAAATGGACAAAAAAGCTGAATAAATATTTCCCAGAAGAAGGAACACAAAGGTCAACAAGTGTATGAAAAAATGCATAGCCTCATTAAGTCAGAGAAATACCAATCAGAAGTATTGTGAGATATCATGTCACATCAAAGATAAGAAAAATAATTTAAAGTCAAATTAAGGAGAAGTAGGGAATATGTGAATAATGAAAATATTGAGAATTTTTGGGCAGTTGGATAACATCTAAACTACATTTTAGGAGTTAGTAGGGACTAAAGTAAAGGACTAAGAGGTAATAAATATCTGAATAGTATTTTTCCTCCTTAGTCTCTCAACATGAATGTTTTGGTCATTTTAAGCAGTCTCTTTAGAGCCAAGTTTCTAAAACATACATTCCTGATATGGTGAATATTTTACACTCCTTGGTATAAGCATTCATTCCTGCCTGAATGTTTTAGTTATACCATATGGACCCCACATGCCATAAGGTAAAAAGGAAAGGGACACTAGTCAGTAGAAGTAAATCCTTTTCTCACATTAGTTGGGAAGCTACAAGTTCCTCTCTCAAGGAACTTACCCATTGGTGCTTCTTTTACTTTCCTCGCATATCTGAGTAGTTCTACCATGCCATATTTCTAACTTATTTCTAAATTCTATAAATTTATTCAATATCCTAAAATGTCAGTACCTCAGTATTTTACTCATTGGGGTTTTTATCCTTCAACATGTGGACATTTGAAGTGTTCCTCAACTTTACATCAGAATGATATGTGACACAGCTTGTCTTAGTTTTTCTTAACCTGAGTCTTCTGAAAGTTTTTTGAAATCCATATTGCAGGTGGACAAAACAGTTATAGAGAAGTTGTACCTACTCTACCGGTTCCTCAGAGAATATGTAATCATTAATGATTTAAAGATCTGTTGGCTTGGAAGAGAAGTACTCTTGTAATGCTACAGAGGCCAAGTCCCAGGGAATATGACAGAGTGAATTCTTAATGGAAGCAGGATGGTGTTTATAAGACAAGTCACTCAGAAATCTGGTCCATGTCAGGACTATGATAGCTTTGTCTCTGGGGCACTGCTGAAGATCATGACATCTCTGTGTTGATCCATTTTTATTCCATAATTTATTTAAATTGATTTATCAACCCTCCTGGCTTATAACATTTAAAAAGAGATAGATATTACTAAAGGAAGCACAAACTTATCTTCCACCTGATTGTACTGCTACAGCACTGCTGTAGAGGCTAGACTGGAGAAAAAGATTCTTTAAAAAATACAGTGTTTGTGCCCAAAATGACTTCATGGCTTTCAGGATGCACATCCCTGTATGTTAAATTTTTTTTCTTCTGCATAATGTAGATCCTTACATCTTTTTCATATAACTATGCATGGAAATTTATCTATAACAAAAGAAAGTTTTGTTGTTTAACAGTATTTTTTTTCTTTTACATGAATATATAAGAAAAATCAATCCCAAAATTTTAAGGAAAAAAATTCAAAAATAAAGTTCTATGTCTAGACTTGTGAACTTCTTCACATACTGAGTAAACCAATATAATATTGACTACATCAATATGATAGTGACTACAAAAGCCTATGCAATCAAAGTGAAATATTAAGCAAAAACATAAAACCTGTGTTTTCAATAGGATATGTAATATTAAAAGTCAGTATTGATAAGTAACATTATAGAATTGTGATTTTTATGATATTAAACATAAAAAATCAGCAAGAGAAATTTAAAAATAATGGCTTTCAAGTAATTACTATCAACTTTCTGTAAAATGCATTTTTAAATACTAAGTAAATACATTTAATTGACATAAAAATAGCCAAATTAAATCTTCCCTTTGTGAGGCTCTTCCAAAATAAGTGGAGTTCAAGGAAAGAAACAAATACATTTCTTAAATGCTATAAAGGGTTATATTTGTGTTAGATACTGGCCAGAAACTACCATGCATTATACCTGTCCCAACATAATAAGCTTACAAATGAGTTTAACTTTATGCAGTTCTGTAGTGGTGGTATAGTAAGAGATGGATTTAGAAGCAAGAAAAATTGTTTCTTTTTATCTCTTTCTTTCTTAGGTGGATTGTGTATGTATGTGTTTTGTTTGGTGGGGTGTGTGTGTGTGTGTGTTTCTGTGTGTAAAGTTGTCTACTGTGTTTAAAACTCAACGACATAGCCAAGAAGGGAATAACATTTGTCATCTTCCTGATGACTCTCTAAAAAAAATTGACCCTGTGTTCATTGTATTCTCTTCATTTTTCCCAAAGGAACACATTTTACATTAGTCATAATGGGTAACAACTGTTCCTGGATCTTGCAGGAGACTCATCCAATGAATGCATCTGAGCCAGATTCCAGCTCTCCTTATGTGAGAGAATTTATTCTCCAAGGTTTCTCTTGTGAGTGGAAAATACAAGTCCTCCTCTTCTCACTCTTCATGACAACATATACCCTCACCGTAACAGGAAATGGGGCCATTGTTTGTGCCGTGTTGTGTGACCAGCGACTCCGCACTCCCATGTACATCTTCCTGGGGAATTTCTCCTTTCTAGAAATCTGGTACGTCTCTTCTACAGGCCCCAAGATGTTGATCAACTTTCTCTCAGAGAAAAAAACCATCTCCTTTGCTGGGTGCTTCCTCCAATTCTATTTTTTTTTCTCTTTGGGTGGATCTGAATGCTTCCTTTTGACTGCCATGGCCTTTGATAGGTACCTGGCTATCTGCCGTCCCTTGCACTACCCTAATATCATGACTAAGAATTTTTGTAGCAAACTGGTCATTACCAGTTGGATTTGTGGGTTTGTGTTGTTTGTAACCCCTATTGCTCTCATGTCTCAGATGCCTTTCTGTGGTCCATATGTTATTGACCACATTGTGTGTGATCCAGGGCCACTCTTTGCATTGATTTGTTCCTCTGCCCCAAGGACTCAATTGCTTTGCTACACTCTAAGCTCCTTGGTTATCTTTGGTAACATCTCTGTTATTCTTAGCTCCTATGCTCTTGTCCTAATAGCTGTACTGCATATGCCTTCAGCCACTGGGAGACATAAAGCCTTCTCCACCTGTGGGTTCCATTTGGCTGTGGTATCACTGTTCTATGGTTCTCTGATGGTCATGTACGTGAGCCCCAGCCTTGGACACTCTGCTGGGATGCAGAAAGTTGCAACTTTGTTCTATGCTATGGTGACTCCTCTCTTCAACCCTCTCATCTACAGCCTCCGGAACAAGGAGATAAAGGCAGCCCTGAGGAAAATTGTAGGGAGTCTCAACATTGCCTGAGGCATATTCAATGATTTCTAAGAATAGTCCAGTAAGTTCAATCAAAGTATATAGTTATTTAAATCTATACATATGATTCTAATGATATTGATGCTATTATCCTATAAAATTAAGCATCTATAATGTTCTTTAAAAAATTAAAGTCAAAAAATTATATAGATAAGTGGAAGCATGTGGGTGTTCTTTGGGAGTGTAGTGACTAAAAAATGTACATATTTTGGTGGTTTTCAGATAGTTTCTTAATGATTCATCTGTGACAAAAATGTCTGCATTCCATCTGATAACAAATTTATAGTTCTGGGATAAATAAAGTTACAAATAGGTCATTTTTTGTTTATGTGTTGATGATAAATAAAAGAAGCAAAATTTGTATTTTCTGATTGTGGCTCTTAGCACATGTGGCTTTGTTATTTTGAGGATGTAGTCATTCGTAGTTCATAAATCCTTTGAAGCAATTTACCAAACTTTCTGTGGATCATAAAATATTGTAGCTTAATGACATCTACGTGTATGATGTTCTCATTACCACTTTCTAAACCTCTAAAAGGCACCTGCTAATTTCATGCTTGGCAATATTAGTCAGTCTGTTCAGAAATTCAGTCTTCTAAGCACATAATGTTTTAATCCAAGTGAAGTATCACCAAAAGCTTAATGGGTCACTTAATTGCATTTGGATAACAGAATATCTCCTTCTAAAACTTGGTGAGTAAAATTTGTATTTGATGATAAATTGCTACAGTTCAAAAAAAACAAATAATAATTCATTATGTTTGTTATTGAAGTAGTGTGAAAAATTAAGGAATATTTTTAAAGGAAAAAAGCATCTAGAATTCAATCACTGTATGTCTGTTTTATTTGTAATATTGAACTTATTCTGATTTCATAATAAGCCTTTATAATTATTTGTTGTGCTACCTTTAATTTTATTGCAATATATTTATATCCATGTTCCTGTAGTTATGAAATTAAGAAAATATAATCGTTTTGATTATCTTGTATATATTTAAATATGCAATAGTTTGCTTCCTCATCATTTTACAAATTTCATAAGTGATATACTTTTATCTGACTAACAAATCTGCCTACTGTTGCTAAAATTTGTAATCATAAATAAAAAATATTTTTTAATTATCAACTTGGATCATAATAGCTGGAGATTCATAATAGGAAAGTTTTTTGTTGCAAACCCACAATTTTAGATCAAAGTACATCCATTTTCTGTTTCAAAAGTTAGAGTGATTTTTGCTGTTAATAACTATAATATCTTACTGAACAAGTATGATATGGAGTCTTAATTTTTATGTGTTGATGTGAACATTTTCCTAGAAGTAGGGCCTTTCTTTCAAGGAGCTAGAAAATGGCTTCTAAAGGATATAAGAAAGGGAATTTTCAGAAAGAAGGTTAGGAGAAAAAGGAATAACACAACTATAAGAATGATCTCTTACATAATTACTACTGAGGCAACCAGGGTAAGGTTACTGAAAATTCCAACGTCCTATTTCCATCTACTACCAATCTTTTTGTGGGGCAACATGTTTACTTCCATTCTTTTGTTATAAAATAGTATTTCAATAAGTTCTTTATAAAGATTTGCCATAAGAATATTTCCCAAATACTATGTGCATACAACACTTTTCATGTTAGGGCTTTTGTCTTACAAACATTTGGAGGGAAAGAGATGATTACTCAGTTCAAAATGTAAGAACACATATGTAAATTTTAGCATGTACATTCCAGGTAGAAAATGTAAGAAGACAATCTTGTTCATCAGAACTCTGGCATATGCATCCTGTGTGATCTATTGGGAATATTTCTTAGCTCTACACTCCTTTCCAGGTGTATGTTAAACTTTCTGAGACTGACTGATCAAAAAAGAGCTCAAAAAGAACAAGTGGTTAGGACAGAAAGTATTTCCATCATTTCAGACTCCTTACCTTGAGTTACTAAGTTAAAATATTTGCACAGCCATTACCTTTTCAACGTTTATTCTTAGAACTCCAGATACTATCCTGGTTCATAGCTTGTTTCATAGTAGTAAATTAGTTACACTACTATCCCTACATCATATTTTTTCAAGCGAAATTGCATCTCAAACATGAGGGGAGGAGACAAAATGAATACTAGACCCAAATATTAAAAGGTTTATTTTTTTCCTGAACATTTAGACTTTCAAACAAGGATAGTGTGGTGACATTATTTAAAAATGATTGTGCTGGTTGGTGGTTTTTTCAGGGGTAAGAGAATAGCTGATATTTTCTACTACTAATATGAGTCATTGTGTTTAAATGTTTATGCTGATCACACAGCCAATGCACCTTCAATTAAAATTAATTCTCTTTGTACAACCAAAAATTATCTACATTCAAGATTGCTTGAAAAATTAGGACTTGGGATGCATGGACCAATATTCCCAGGAAACAGAGAGTATGAATGTATTAATTTAATGTGTTTAGATGTGCAAAATTATCACACTTTTAGCAACATTAAGTAAATAAACATTTGGAGTCACTGTTGTAAGTCATTTCTGTATTCCGCTTTATTTACTACTTATGACAACTAAAGAGGTCAGGTGCATAGTATTTTAGCTCTCAACTTCTGAGACACGTAGACTGGAAATGGAAATGGAATCTTGGGACGGGGAGGCAAAGTGGGGAGCAAAAATGATGAAGATGGCCAGTTCCCTGAGATTAATGTAGTTATTATGTATCTCAAACATATCCTAATTTTTAAAATATAACAAAAATTTAAATTTAAATTTAAAATTATTCAGGATGAAACCAACACAAAGACTAACTTGTTTAATAGAAAACAGCGTGTGATCCAAGGCAGGCTGACTATGGCATTCACAATCTTCACTGTTAAATAGGAAAAGTACAAAGATTCTGAAATTAGATAGAGTGGTTTCAAACCTACATTATTTGACCTTTCCACCTAGTTTTCTTTAATTGCTAAGATAGAAGTAATAACATTATTATGCCTGAGAGTAGCTGTGTTGAATAAATGAAGTAGAAACCCACCTCCTATGTAATAGTTTGGAACTGGTTTTTATCAACATTATCAATGTCATTTTTTATCCAGTCCTGGGGATTGAACTCAGGGCCTTGGCAGTTGACAGCCTCCTGCATCAGTTTCCTAGAGTGCTGGGATTATGGGCCCAGATTCGATGTCTTCCATTTATAAAGCTCTTTAGACTTTCACATAGTTTTTCAGTTTATCTTTACAATTTTTATCACATAGTAGGATAAATATTTTTACACTTAATTCATAATGAAACTTGAAAAGCCAATATATGTCTAAGGTCACATATTATAAGTGAAGGAACAAGTTACACTGACTTAAATTCAGTAAGAATTCTGCCCATGAGCCAGAGATTTAGCTCAGTGGTACCGCTGCCTGCCTGAAAAAGCGCAAGGTCCAGAATTCGATCCCCGGTACCAAAAAAAAAAAAAAAAATTCTGTCCAGCTGTAGACCTTCTCCTGGGAACCACAGCTGAGTCCTATGTAGCTGCTTTCAAGACTCCATGGCCATAAAGACCACAAGGTTGGTTTAATCCCAGAAAGGAATAAAGAACAAATGAGTTGTTTTAAAATAATGAAGCAGTTTACATTTGAATGTTTATGTAAAAATGCAATATGCTAAATACGTTATTGAGTAGAAAAGTCAGGCAGAAAACAAAATCATTATATAATATTACATAATTATGAAGTCACGGTAAGGTTAGATTCTTTGTTTCATCTTTAATATTAATATGCATCTGATTTTTCTATGACACAAATGTATATCTCATCTAATCTACAGTGGGTTGTAAAGCTCCACCACCAATTAGAAACACCTCTAGGGATAATCAAGCCATAGCAGTCAGAGGTAGACAGTTCCAGGATGTTAGCAGGAACCCAGGCTCCTATTTATTTTTAATAAATCTTTCTTAGTATATGTTTCCTTCCTCAAAGATATCTCGCTCTCTGAAGCCAGCAACAGAAGCTTCAAACAGCAAAAGAGAAGCAAACCTCTGTACCACTTTATGTTACTGCTTGAACATATATTTCAAAGATGACTGTCACTGACAAGGGAGGCTGCGACATTGAAGATTTTCAGATGAACACACTGTCTCTAGAATAAAATTGAAGTCATAGCAAGCATAAAATAGGAAGATAAATACAGCAGTGGAAGGTTAGAAGTGGCCCCTTTTTCTTCTCAGAAGTTTCCTAATAGGAGATGGATCCTCTTCTTAAGCAAGGCTTTAAATACAAATAAAACAGCAAGAGGAATAATTTAATGCACAGAAAAGTTTTGAACACAAAAATGTAATAAAAAATTTGAGATACTATAGAGCCTAAGATGCTTGAGACCGGAGATGGGAGAACTACTTCCATGTCTCCCAAATCAAACTTGTAGCATTGGTATTGCAAAAGCAGGGACAAAAAGTATTCAGAACATGTTCTAGTCAACATATTGATCTAAAATTGGTACTCTTTCTTTCACTGGAGTGATAAATTACCACAACCCAGTTCTGGTTTTATGGCTTCCTTCCCTGAAGTTCTTCCATGGCCCATATGCTCTGGAAAACAAGATTCTACCATTTACACAGAAATAAGTCTTTCCTCCTCTCCCTTTACTCTGTACTTCAAAACTCAGTGGGAAGGAAGAGGGCCTTCCAGTAAGTTTTTAGGTTCCTCTTTATTTAGTCTTTTGGTCTTAAATGAACTTGGCATTAAGACTTCTGGGGAGCATGGAGAGAAGGGAGGTAGAAATGCTGGAGATGAGTCACTCATTTCAGAGAAGAAAACTGACCTAGAAAAGAGAAATCTCTTCTTTCAAACTTCAGTAGGATATGATACAAAGTAAATGAGAACTGAAATTCCAAAACTAAGTAAGAAAAAAGGAAGTCATAAAATAGAAAAAGTCATTGGTAGAAAAAAGGAAGAGAAAATGGTGCCGTTCAGGGAGATGCTAAGAGGTTTACAAAGCACTCTGTTCTCTTACCTGGACCTTCCCACCTTAGCTAGTAAGAGAAGTGTCACACTCATATACAACACAGCTGGAGCCATGGTGGAGGAATCACGGGAGAGAAGGTCTTGACTCCCTTTCCACAGGAGAAGACAAGAAATCTTTGCTGAGCTACTTCAGCTCTGTCTCCACTGACCTCCTTCTCTTCTGCGCCAAGGTAAATACACTGCTGCTCTTGTGCCAGGGGAGTCTTGTGGACAAGGTGGAACAATCGTTAGATGAAAGTGATGGGGAACAAAGCAAAAGATTTGTCCCTACATAAAGACCTTGCCTTTCTCCAGGGGAAGCCGGTGGACAGGAGATATGCAGGACTAGGCTGAGCTCCAGGGAAACATTTGGATTAAGGTTTGCCCCAATTGTAGCGAGTCACACAAGGTACGACTTTGTGGGTGATTAAAGGGTATCTTAGAGTGATGCATCAGACCTCATCTCTGAGAACAAAGGACTGCTCTGCAGCTCAGAATTTATGTATTCTGTGTGTTTGGTCTGAGATCTATTCCAGCCCCAGAAGTCTCCCTAAATAGTACAGTGGAGAGGGAGATCAAAAATAACAAGGCATACTCTGTGAGATATCAAGGCTTGAGAAACAGCCTTTCAAAACTGCCAGGGAAGAGCCACGGAAAGAATACAGTACACCGAATACCATCCTCTCTGACACTGAATCATGTCGGTGATGAAATCTTGGCCCTTTCTCCTCAGGCCCCCTTGAACTCTTCACTGAAGTCAGAGGCACATACAGTTGTGATGATTCTATGAGTTGAAGGAATATTACTCAAGGAAAGACAGCTTTGGTACTGCAGAGCCAGCTTTGTTATCACTCAGGCCTGTCTGTTGTCCTCATCGTAATTCAAAGGAAAGACAGACAGGTCTGTGATCTTCATTATTAAATCCTTCTTTGCCCCAGGACATGAGTTACTGGAGAAGCCCAAAACCTCTCAGGAGGAAAATACATTTCACTTGCACCTGATGAGGTATACAGAGCACCACTCAGCCCTTCCGCCTCTTTACATCCATTGGGGGACATGCGGTGACCTCATCTCACAAAAGCCAGTGGGACAAAAATAAGTAACAGAGAGAAAAGGAGCTATGCAATCCTTACCTCCAGCAGTGAGTTCTGAAAACAAACACAGCAAGACCTTATGGCTCCTTTCACTGCTTAACAACGCCTTTACTCTGGTTATGCACTTTCTTTAAATTTTGCCCAAACTAGCTTTTAAGACTATTTTCCATAAACTCAACAATGGAATTCACTTGAAATGTTTCCATTGTCCTGCCTGAGGACTTCTCTAGTAGAAACACACGTTGGAAGTAGAAAAATTTGACTCATCCTAATGCTGCCACTTTTTATTTCTTTGATCCTGGGAAGTAATTTAGATTCTTTGTTATTCTGCTTATGAGTAAAATAAAGATAATAATACTGGATCCATATGTCATGTGGATAAGGATGAAATGAAAAGCTATGTTTATGACTTTCTGTTTGTAACATCATCATATTTTTCCCCTTTGTCAATTCACTGTGTAGTGGACAAGTAAATTTATTGCCTCCAAAGAATTTAAGAATCTGAGCTGTCTATCCCCAGCATGAAGACTGGGAAACATCATCAGCTTCTCTCCTGGAATTGCCTGTAAGCTAAGAGTACCTGGGCCTTCTCTCTGCCTTCTCTGTTTATGTTTCCTCTAGCTCTCTACCCACATGCAGCCAATCGTGAGTGAGTATAAATGGAGTCCCCTACTCAGTCAAATGTCTCATTACTGTCAAAGTCATAAGCTGGTTCTCCAATATGTCCCAGAAATCCCATAGATGTTATGTATATCAGAAGCCCTGGGATGGGATTGTCCATTAGTGTAGGATTTGACATTCTTACTCTTTTCTCTTTTCCTAGAAGCAGTACCAAGGATGGAAAAACCTCTGTTCTCTGCTGTCCTACCTCCATCACTGTTGGCTCTCATGAGCCATGACTTAGTGAGCTGGGCATGGACTGCGCCTGACTGCACGGTTGCAGACAGCTCCCTACTGGCTAACCTCTCCTACTACATTCTTGGCCTCAGGACTGCACCTTTTCGCATCCTGCTGCAATGTTAAAGATGTGGCTCCGACCCTGAGAGCAGTACCCTGGGATAGAGGAGCACTTTGCCTCCAAGGAATGGTTCCTGTCCTTCCATCTTCTGCATGCTTCCTCTCCTAAAGCCAGCCCCAGATGATTGGCATCCTTTTTGGATGTGCTGGATTTGTCATCCAACCTGCAGCTGAGCCAGGCAGGTATCAGAGCCCTGCATGGCCTCCAGCTGCATTCCCTAAAATTGGATAGCACCCCATTAAGTTCATTCAGCCTCGTAGACTCAGGACTGCTCCATCTGGACTTCCTCTCTCTTGTGGGTACAGGTGTGACAAAACTGCCTGGGAATGTGACAGGGTACTTTGCACTTCGTGCCCTTGACCTTGGGAGGAATCAAATCCAAAACATAGAGGATGCAGACCTTGCAAGCTGCTGTTCCCTAGAACTCCTCAGCCTTCATGATAATGGCCTGCAATCACTTCCCATTGGGTTCCTGAGTGCCCTTCCCCAGTTTCAGAGGCTCAACCTGTCCATGAATAACCTGGGTTCAACCTTGGTGCTCCCAGAAGGGCTGGTTCGTTCAAACCTGAGTGCTCGATCTGTCCTACAATGAACTCTATAATCTGCCATATGGGGCCTTCTCCTTTCGTCCTCATCTTCAGGAACTCAGGCTGGGTGGCAACAACCTCTCCAACTTAACCAGTGGAAGCCTTAAGGGACTCAGGTGGCTAAAGACACTAGACCTGAGTTGGAACCAAATTAAGGTTCCAAATCCAGGCTGGCTCTCTTTTCTCCCTGCCGTCACCTCACTGAACCCCCTAGGCACCTATTTAGAGTATATCCCAGGCAAGCAGCTCCAGGGTCCCCACAAGCTGAGCTGTCTGAATCTGGGTTCTCTCCTCAAACTGCACATTTGCCCTCCCTGGCCTCCAGCACTGCTCAGCTTGGAGGTGTGGGCTAGAACGTGGATTGAGTTCATAGTCCCCGACGATCAACAGTTTTTGTTCTTGGAAAACCTTACCTTGCAAACTTCCTCTGTGCTATTGCATTCAAGCAATGCTACCGTTTATTTCCTGTCCCTGCATTGCCTCACTCTGAAAGGCGTCAGTGCCTACATTTTCTCAAGCTGTTGGCCCCAGAAATTTTTTCCACAGCTTTCTCTCCTAGAACACACTTGCACTTCTGGTCTGATAATGGGGACATGGAGGACATGTGTCTGTCTGGCATGCCCAGGCTGTGAGTGCTGGAGCTGGGAACCTAAACTTCCTCTGAGTTTGGTTCAGTGAAGCTGGAGACACTTCTGAAGGAAGTGCCTCAGTTACAGGTGCTGGCAATGAGCCACCTGCATCTTTGGAACCTCTCCATGTCCACCTTCAGGGACTTGGGTCACCTCCAGTTGCTGCTGTTCAACTCTGAATTATCTCTAGGGTTGGAGAGTAGCCTTCAAGAGCTAATCCCCCAGATGCCACAATATGTTTATTTCTCAAATGTCGCCGTCAACTGGCAGTATGAAAGCTCTTGGGTGCGTCCTTGGGCAACACGGGCTCCCAATAACTTTGTGTATGGGCTAGAGAAATCCATCTGCATGGCAAATGCTTCTGACTATTCCAAGACTATTCCATCTGACTATTCCATTGCTCTCCTTCCTTTCTGATCACTGCACACGTGATCCTGAGTTTCAGGGCTTTCTCGCCAGCTTTACACTTGTATTCCTGATGTCCATCTTTGGACTGCTTAGCTGTCCCAAGTGGTACTGGCTTCATCACCTCTGGAATCATTTTCATGCCTGGTGGTGGAAATTATGTGGGTGTGGCCCCAGAAGGCAATTCTATTATGATGTCTTTATATCCTACTGCGATCAGGACCAAGCCTGGGTGCTGGAAGGACTGGCTCCTGCCCTGGAGAAGCCTCCTCCAATAGCTGAGGGCTTGAGACTATGTCTGCCAGCAAGAGACTTTGGCCTTGGGCAGGACAGGATGGAAGCCATAGTTGCCAGCATAGAGAGCAGCAGAGCTATTCTCTGTGTGCTCAGCTGCCAGGCCCTGAAAAGTACCTGGTGCAATGTGGAGTTCAGGCTTGCCACCTACCACTTGGTGGCACAGCCCGGGATAGCCCACCTACTGCTACTGTTTCTGGAGCCTATAGATAGCGTGGCTATCACCGTCTCAGCCAGTGGCTCCAGAAGGAGGACTGTGTTGATTTACATCAAGAGAAAGTGGAGTGGAATGCTTTCTGTGAGCAACTTCTGAGAAGGCTAAGGAAAGCAGGACAAGAAAGAGAAGATTAAGGGCTCTGAGTGCTTTAGACAGGCAGGAAGGGGGTTTTGTAAGTGATTCTTACTTCAAGCTTCCTTTTGGCACTAAAAATGACATAGATGAGGGTACCTAATCCCTGAGGGAAGCATATTTGAAAACACTGAAAATTAGAGATTCAGTTCAAAAAACAATTCTGATACTGTTGCCAATCCTTTCACAAGTCCTCAGAAAAAGAATGTGTGTGCCAGCTCTGCACAAGAAATGTAAACATTAGGTACTGAAAATATGTAAAAAGGAAGGGGATTGAGAAATGGGTGGAGGAAGGAGGGAAAGAAGGGAAAGAGATGAAAAAGGAATTTTGATGTGTTTTGTACATGTACCAATGTCTCACAAGAAAAGTAAGCATTATGTACTTACACAAGTATTAATAAAGTAAAATAATATTTTTAAAGAATACATAAAAGAGTTACTAGAGTGCCATGAATAATTTTCAAAATACATTCATTCCGGTTCTGTTAGAAGCCATGTGTTCATTTATTTGGTAAAAAGTTTTATTATTCTAGATGGGATAATGGGAAAAGAATCAACAAGCTATTTGACAGCACTGTGAAGTGAGCTTGAAACTATGTTTGCTGTTCACCAGGGGTCCAAAAATTTAGTTTTACTCACCCTTCAAGTTCTCGCGAAAAAGCACTAAATGAGAGCAATTGATTTTCTTCTGTCAGCACTGAGGACTCTAAATACATAAAGGTTAGGTGATTTACACTTCTATGACATTCATGTCTAATAAAATTTGGATCTAGTGTTTGTCTCTCTCAGTCACAGTATAGTGTTCTATTGCCTTCCATTAACCTCTAGCCAGTGACAACTTGCTACAAAGTTAAAGCAGGTAAAAAGGACATAAATATCTTTATAAATACATATGTGATCTATTTTCAAGATTATTTCAGATTTCCAGAAACTGTGCATGAAAATATAAGTGTCCCCAAGGAGAATGACTTGGATAAAAAATAAAGTATTATGCACCTAAAATATTCATGCTTCAGTGGTATTTAATACTATGAAACTATTAAGAATCATGCTTCAAGATACTTAATGCTATGCATGGGAAAAGAATCAATATATAATATCAAATGAAAGTATTGATGACTGGCATATGCTATAAATCCAAATATGAAAATAATTGCATATATATCTAATGTATGTCAAATAAAGATAGAAAGAAAAGACCAGAAATGTAAAATAGAAATGTCACTATAAAAAGCACTATGGAGGATTTTAATCTGATCATTTTCTGCTATTCATCTTTTCAACATAATGAACACATTATTTTTGTAACAATAAAATTAATAAATTCCTATAAAAATGAGAAAATATCTAAAGTGATCTAGTTACTTAAACTGGTTCTCTGTTTTCTGTTGGTACAGTGATATCTCTTGCTACTAGACCCCAAGACTTATAGTAAAGCTACAATAATTACAAGCATATGCTACCAGTAGCATAATAAATACAAACAGCCACATGGTATTAAAAATAGAATCCAGAAATCAATTCATGTAAAATGTACATTTAATTTATAAATTAAAAGTTACATAGCAGTGATAAACTGACAGGTTTTCTCATCAAACAGATGCAGTGGGCCAAATGGATTTCCACATGAAAACAATGAATTTTGACCATTCCTTTACACAACCTGCAGAAAGTAAGCCCAGGAGGTCTGTAGATCTCACATGTGGAAGATGAGCTATCCAACTTCCTAAGTAATAAACTAAACTCTTTTTGTGAGTTTGAAAAATACGTGATTAGCCAGGGATTTAGCTCAATGGTGTACTGCAATGATCCACCTAAAAAGGAAAGAAAGCTTTTTTATATACTGAACATTAAAATGGATACAAGACATAGCATGAAAGAATAAAAGATCATATATTTTTAAGTGACAACTTTCTCACTCCCACTTTAAAACACTACGACTAACTGGATTGACTGAAAGTGAAGGGAAACATTAACCTGTGCCCTGTCAGACAGCATATTGAGATAGAGTCCTTTAAAATATCTTGACAGTCTTTTATTATTACTTGCTTTAAATAAGGAATTAGACTCATAAATCTGTCATAATAACTCCACCTCAGAAAAGCAATGCAATCAACAATATAGACAAATAGATGAAAGAGGAGACTGAGTATTTTTAATTGGTGAATTATCACAATCACAAAAGTTTACACTTCCAGTATCTAGTCTACGGTTCTCATCAAGATAGAATTGCCTCCAACTTATTTTTCCCTTCTTTTAATATCTGTGACTTATTAATATAATGTCATTTGTTCATGGCTGCCTCAGGCATACCACAATTTTGCTGCTTAAGCAACAGCTAGATTATTTATTATCATATGAATTTAATAATAAATTTGATGTTCCAGGAAAACTCAACATTCTATATTAACTTGCAATAACCCCTGTTATCCCCATGTCTTCTACAGCAATAAATGTGTCCAAGAAAGAAAACACAAACTGTCACCCATTTCATCCTCCTGGGCTTCCCCTCAAGTCCAGAAAGGCAGCTCCTCTATTTTGGGCTCTTCTCAGCAGCCTACACTGTGACTCTCATGGGGAACACAGCCATTTCCTGCACTGTGTAAGCAGACCGGTGCCTTGTACATCTTTCTGGGGAAGTTTTCTCTCCTGGAAATATGCTACATCACCATAACTATACCCAACTTGTTGGCCAACTTACTCTCTACAACCAAATCCATCTCTTTTGTGAGTTGTTTTGCACAGTTCTACTTTTTCTTCTCCTTCAGATATGATGAAGTCTTCTACCTTAGCGTCCTGGCCTTCGACCAGGTTCCTTGCCATCTGCCACCCTCTGCATTATCTACGCATCACGACCAGACAGCTCTGCACTGGCCTCATGGTGCTCAGGTGGTCCTGTGGGTTCATCGTCTTTCTAACTCTATTCATTTCAATTTCACAGCTACACTTCTATGGCCTAAATATTATTAACCATTTAGTATGTGATCCTGCCCCACTGATGATGCTATCCTGTTCCAAGGACACCACTACCCAGTTCATTTATTCTTCTTTCAATGCTTCATTCATGATTGGTACTCTCATCTTTATCATTTGTTCTTATGCTCTGGTAATTTTTGCAGTGGTGCAGATGCCTTCAGCAGCGAGCAAGCATAAGGCTTTTCTGACTTGTGCTTCTCGTTTAGTGGTTGTTATACTATTTTATGGCTCTATTATGGTGGCGTATGTTGGTCCTGAATCAGGACACATAGTGAAGATGCGAAAAGAAAATCTTATTTTATTCTGTGTTAACATATATATGCCACCCTCTAATGCATAGCTTGAAGAACAAAGAGATGAAAGATGCACTGAGGAAAATCTTCAAGACTAAATAAAGTGTTCATAAAATATGAATAAAAGACTAACATTATCTCACACTTTTAAGGTTGACCTTTATCAATGAGATGAAAGATAACATGTATAGTGAAGTCACAGAGAAAAGGGAACCCCTGGTATACTGTTGGTGGTATAATAAATTAGTTCAATTTGGACGGATGGGGTATGAAAGTCCTTCTAAAAACTAAAAGTAGAACTACCATAAGATATAGAAATCCTGGGCCAGGGATTTGGCTCAGTGGTTTTGCCACCTGCCTCATAAGGGCAAGGGCCCAAGTTCAATCCCTGGTACCAAAATATATATATATATATATCCTGCTATTATATATAAAAAGAAAATTAAATCAGTCTGTTGAGGAAACATCTGCCCTCCATAGTCATTACAGCACTATTCACAATAGAAACAACTTAAGTGCCTGTCAACAGATGATTAAATATATATGTGGTACATATATCCAATGGAATATTATTCAGCCATAAAAAATGAGATCCCAAAAGTGGAATTTAAGGGTTGGTTTAACACTCTCATTTGAAAAAGTTTAAAATATGAGAAGTGGATGAGGCTCTCCTCAAAAGATCTTAAAATTAATAGATCTTAAACTCACTCTCACTGCAAATTAGTTATAATTTGGTTCAATGTACTAGAAGGAGAACAGCTTCAAAGTGGTAAAAATCAAACCTAACTGCAAAAGACTTTAAAATGCTCCTCCTGTGTTCATATTAAATGGTGCAGTATGGTCTGTAAAACTCTTTTCCACCTTCCAAACTACAGAACTACAAAATAAAAGGACTCAGCTATGTATACTCCCTCAGAAGAGGCATGAAGGAGAGTCAAAGTATCCTGAGTCATACTACTCCCAGAGGAGGGTCTGACTTTTAACCAAGCCTAGATGCTTCCAAATCTGTTACCTGAAAATAAACTATGCCAATGATTGTCATAAAAAAAATCACAGAGAAGAGCAAGAAAACATAGAAAAGGGTAGGAAAGGCTAGTTGAAAAACTACTTTTTCAGAAAAGATGATAGTCCAATATCTTGGACAGATGTGATTTTATTGGGGAATATTTTCTGAGATTTAGCTCATTTTAGACAAACAGTAAAGCGACTGGGACTGATTTAGAGGTACAGAGATTACTGTAATTCTAAGAAGTTCCTATGAAGGAAGCTAGATTGCTAATAAAATGACAAATTATCAGCAGATGTTTTCTATAACAGATCCCTGATTTGGATGTAAAGTGGTTTTGAGGTACAGCACGAAATCCCAGAATCTCTCAGCATCCCCTAAAGTGTAAACTTGAAGAGTCCTTGAGTTAGCATTGAAAGGAAGACTAGGATTGCAGGTGTGCGAAAGAGGGAGCCTGGTTACTCTTGGGGGTGTGATGGGATAATTGCTTCACATTTCTCCTAGCATCAGCATGTGAGCAAGAGCCCAGTGCAGTGCCCTTAAAAGTCAAGTGCGTCCAGCTGCTTGTGCAAGAGATGACAGGATTATCCTGCCACCTTGTGGCTTGAGGACAATATGCACAAAATTTGGAGACGAGATCAGAGTGCCTAACTGCTTAATCTGAATCTAATTCTAAATGTATAAGGCACAATAAACAGCATTATTCCAAATAAACAGCCTGTATAAT